TCGAAGAATTGGAAAAGGCATCTGATGCTACCAACAGCGAGAACACTCAACTTCGTTCCCAGATAGAGAAGTTGACTGTCGAATTGGAGCAGTATAAGAAGAAGTTGACTGTTATGTCTGGAAGGTCGCGATCATCGACAGGCCCTACGCGTGGCCCTTCTACATTTGGCAGTGCAGCCATACAGAACATTAACGATGTCAATTTTCAATTTGAATTTCCCAAGTTCGGCATGTTCCCGGGACCCAATTCGACACCTATCACTGGTGCAAAGCAAACATCGCCGTATCCATCACCTTCTTCGGGTCTTAGCCCCAATAACCAGACAAGCCCACAAGAGCAGTCCAAAACAGGTGGCTCTGAAACCCCTGTTAAGGGTCGTGAAAATACAGAGAGGCAACAAGCGAAAGGCTCCTTCTCTTCTATCAAGTACCCGGATATGTTCAACTTGGATGGTAGCGGCTGCGGCAACAGTGGTTCCAGGACGAGCTTAGATTCCGCACAGTTCAGTCTCAATGGGGCAAACACTGGTTCCCCATCTTCATCCTCAAATTCCGTCATGGGGCCGAGCTCGTCCTGCGGCACGTCCCCCGAGCCTTTTACTCAATCACCACTTGGCTTTAAGCCCCTGGAGACACTAACCACGATTGGAGAAGAGCATCCAGGTTTGACAAGTGATGGCACTTCTGGTGAGTGATTTTACAACTCGGGCCTCCAATTAATGTGACGCTAACACGGCAAACAGCATTCGGCAACATTGGAAACCTTGATTTCACAAATTTTGACTGGTTGTCACAACAGAACGGTGGCCAATTCGACCCGCAGCTATTCGGTGAATATCGCGAACCGCAGAGTAACGTCTTGGCCAATACCACATTCGATGACAGCTTCTTCAATGATGCTTTCGATGTCGACTTTTTAACCCCGTTCAATGCACCTGCGGTCTCTGATCCCAAGCCGGCCAAGAAGGATATTTGTGCCGAAATCGATGCCCGAAAGGAAACAGAGGATACCATTGTGACCGCTGACAATGGCAAGCTCCTGACGTGTAACAACATATGGTGAGTACCATTCTAGACCCCACGACGGAAAATACTTGAAAACTTCAACTAACGTATCCAACAGGGAACAATTGCAAGGTTGCCCCAAAGTGCAAGCTGGCGATCTTGATCTTGACGGCCTCTGTTCTGACCTACAGAAAAAAGCCAAATGTGGGGGCAGCGGTGCTGTTGTTGATGAGAAAGATTTCAAAGCCGTTATGACTAAATACCTCGGAGGTTCATGCCCGGGTACATGATCTGTCGACTCGACGATACTATCTTTCCTCGCGAAATTTCCGAACTTATGACTTGTGCCATTACCATCACTGGAACAGGCGCTTTGGGTCCTATAGGATTGGGGAATAGGATTTGCTAATTTAACACAACGTACGCGACGACTTACGCAATGACATTACGCTCCGCCGGAAATCCGATTTGGGCAGCTGTCAGGACAAACGTTACGAACGTGGGAGAAAATCGGAGTTACTCAGACTGAGGTTAAAATTTCAGGCCGGCCAGCTGCCACTGAACGGGCCGGTGATTGGGTATTGCATAGATAATTGGTTGGTCGGTGTCTATCTATGCATTTACAAGCACATATGAGGTGATGTCTAACTGACATACGCACGATTACGTGGTACATATTTTGTTGGGGATGGGGTGGAGAAATGGAGTCTTGAACGGCATATTGGGATCATTTCTTTTGGTTTTCTCCATTATCCACTCACTATATTCAAGCCTCACTCGCTTTTGTATGAATCTTTTGTGACATTAACGGCAATACGAGGGAGATGTGCAGAGCTTTACGATGGAAGCTGCGCGAAGCCGGTGCTATGAAGCGGACGCCAGAGTATTACATTGACACGAAACTATACTGGGAACGAGGTGTGACGTGACAGATGGCATACATAATGTTAAGTTATGAGGAAGGCCAGCAGCAGGCATATGATTTTGTCTTATTCTTTACTGGAGTGTGATTTCCCCTTGAGATTCATACTTACTCTTTGTGACAGAAGACTTAAGAATGACTACCTACCTATCTTCCAAAATACCTGACTACCTCGACGTCTAGTGGCACGATTTTACTCGAGCTAGTCAGGGCTATTTAGATTTTGCGTGCGCACACATCTCGTACTTTGCCTTGCTTGAAATTCGAGTAATGTCAGGAATGGGGATTATCTGCCAACTGCTTGATGCCATGTTAAACATATAGTTGATAGACAGAAACGATAGATCTTCAGATGCGATCTGGCCAGTGCAATGGGGCATCTACAGCCTATAAATGTACACATTTCATTAGAGATATGTAACTACTTTTCATGCCTTACATCCTTGTATTTCTTTACCTCTTTCTTGCTTTCTTTCCGTCTTTCTTTCAGAGATCATATTTACTTTACGTATCAAGTAGGTATATGCATAATAAATCCCACCTTAGTCCACAGCTCGACACTTTGTATGCATGCTGGTTACTAGGCTCGCTTAGCTACCTACCTATGTGTAAAGTAAGTACATACATCCTAGATAGATACCCACCAAGATAGTCCTCGGAGATTAAAGATTCGTTTTCCATGTAGCCACCTAGCTACTTGATTTAGGCTTATATGTTCTTGATACCCAATAGGTCGTGCAATGCATAGCTCTTACTCATCTACCTACTTGCTTCTCGGCCTGCTTGCTAGTGGTAGGTATGTATGTAACCTAACCTTAGTATACTGAGCCTGATGAGGCCAGATAGGAACGGAGATATGGAGATATGAAGCGAGGGAAATCCTTAGTCAGGTGGGGGCTTGGTATGCAGTGAGCTGACGTAAAATGGATCTCCGTATACATTCTTGCAGTTTTGGATAAGTTCAAGTTGATGATCGTGTTGGGGTTGGTATACTGGGTACTCAATGATTGGTTAGGTAGGTGATTTAATGAGGTATTTTAGGGGTAAAGTCATGTTATGTATTTTCTTGATCTATCCGTTGGTGCATTAGTGTTTGGGGAATGTCAAGTAAGGAGCCTGCTCGTAGCCCAATCTTACATAGAAACACTATAGATGTAGTGTTTTCCCGCATATCATGCAGGGTCTTTGTAAGGGCAGGGAAAGGCTGTGACATGTATGTATGCGTGTTCACGCTAGCTTAGGTTGTTAGGCTAAAATTCCCGAGTCTAATAGTTTTTAGGTAGGCGCGTATGTGTGGTAGATATGTTGCTAGGGAATTTGTCTCACTTGGACTGTGCAGAGACGTTAAGATGCCCTTTGTGAAGACAAATGCGAGATATTTGAAATACGAGGAGGAAAAGAGTAACTAGAGCTGCGGCATGATGGTTGCAGATATTTACAAAAAATTGTCATATAAGTAGGTGATACTATGGTGGTTTAGGTGAAAGATCTACTCAGCTGGGCGCCGGCACAATGCCAATACCTATCATATACGATATAAAGGAGCCTATTCAAGGACTATCGTCCACTTCCGCGTAATCTCTCTCTACCCCTCGGCTTGTTAGTTACGGAGTTGAATATATCAGGCGATAAACTTTCGTCAGCGAGATCCTACGTCATTATAGTGTGTGTCCCGTAATAGATACTGTAGCTGAAGTCTGCATAATCATATGATTGGACCTTATGACCCTGTAGTAGTGCGGTGTCAGCTCATCCGGCATGTTCCTAACTTTTTGGGGTGATTTTGGTTATGGAATTAGGAAGCTGAGGAAATAATGCACACACATGCATTTCTACATGTCATATCAGAAGAGTGATATACTATCATTGCGCATACTGTGAAATACTCGGCATAGTGACAAAGTATCCTCCGGGCAATAGCTCTATAGTTATGTGTCGAGGGCGTATCAAGCGGATGTAGTGGTTTAGAGCTTTCCTAGGGCTAATAACAATTATATTTTGCATGATTATATAGTTGCTAAATGCTCAAATGAGATGTATTAACGTATTCTAGACAGCTACGAAACATCACGAGCTGTGCGGGATAGAAATTGTCTTGAGATATATCTGTTCATACATAGCAGGTAAAGAAAAGCGACTTTACCGGTCTATTTGCTATCATAAGCCAAAGAAAGACCACATTAGGGTAAGAACCACGCCAGGATAACTCTGGAAGAAGTGATCTAAAAAGGTGTGCTCTATTTTCTCGTTATCCTCCCCCCAGTTCCGACTTAGCTTCACGTATTATTTGAGATCCCGGTGTGAGAGCGTCCTCATTCGTTTGTTACTGGTTCGACCCTATGAAGTTCATTTTTTGTCAGTAAGGATTGGCTGTGTGAAAAGCTCAGACCATTATTGATAGATATAAGGAAGTAAGTTTAGGCCATGTTTTTTAGGCTTGATTGTAACATAACATTGCTGGAGAAGGAAACCGGCTGATGCCATAACCCAGTACGTGTAGCAGTTTCAATACCAAGAACCTACTGTTATCATTTTAATAAGCCATAGTAATACGGCCAAGATGTTTTCAGTGAGATACGTAATACTGATATGCTTCTGGAAATCTGCATTACACGAACTATTCAAGTTGGATAATTTAGTTGACTGGTTCTTGGAAACAGGTTGTTAGTTTGCATACAAATGTTGAAGTGTTGATATGTAAGACTGGAAGTTGTGGCATCCAAAAATGGAGTCCATACGCAAATACCATGGGGTCTATCTATGTTGTATTGAAATCGATTTCCTGTTTGATTGCAACAAACGGGGGAGGACCAAACTCATTTAAATTTTACACGGGTATGTAAGGAGTACTTACTTGGGTTATAAATGGAAACAGGGGAGAGAGCGCGCATGGAGTGAGAAGGACATGGTCACATTGGAATTGTTTTTATGTGCTAATTGATTTTAAAGCATCTTTGGAGATAAGTGTGCAGTAATGGAAAAAATAAAAAGGTAGACAGATAGATCTATTTTATAGCAAACAAAAGATTAATCTCAAGACTAAGAAAAAGTAAACGAATACCATTAGGCAATTTGGTCAGTATGGGGGTCGAACCCATGACCTTCGCATTACTTGATACAGTCACGCAGTCACTGTATTAGTACGACGCTCTAACCAACTGAGCTAACCGACCAGTTCATATCATGAGACGTTGTTGTAATGCATCAAGACTCAGGGGGTGAGACGCTTGGCCTCTAATTAGGATAGGTACTGTAGTAAGTGGTAACATCAAATGGGTTATAATTAATCAAAAATACCTTTAATAACTGTTCACTTGGCTTGATGAGGCGCCGTGAAGAGTAGTGTGGGAGGGACTGCATGTTTGCCCTGCTGCCGAAAAGGTGACCGACCTCGACCGCCACAGAACTACGATACCTACCATAGTAGGTGTAAGCATCTACAGTTGTCAATGCACATACCTACTATAGCTCCCTACACACCACACGTCCCAGAATGCAGGGCTTGACTTGCTTCAACTCTATGTTAAAACATCGTCTTGAGAGATGTACTCTGGATCGCACGCCTTTCCAAACAACTGGTACCAATCGTCAGTTGATGAGATGACTGACTCGAGCTCAGATATTACAACGCTTCTTTCTGGTCAAAATATTGCAATCCCAAAGACTTCTATACTATAGAGACGGAACTATAAAAACATGATCGTACGTGATGAGCCATAGCCTCCGGTCGGGAGGATTCGCACCTCGGACTTATTCTTCATGCTGAGAGTCACAATGAACACGCTTCCGCATGTTAGGATACCAATTGAAATCCCCAACGATATAACTACTTCACGGAAAAGGCCTGAGGGATCATATGCTTTTTGGTTATAATAAGCATTGGCAGGTTGAGCCCGCAGATGAGACAAATCAGCCAGACTTGTAGAGATCATGTTTTCTCCTGCTGATGAGAAGCTCATGTTTTGGCTAGAGTTCTACGCTGAATGTCATTTTCACAACGGATACACTACTTCTTGATCATCCACCAGCCATGTTTTACGTAACATAACTAGCTGTCTCGACGCTGGACTTAACATGATTCTTTGGCTAGTTGGCGAGCAATACACACCTGATTTCTTTCTCAGAAAGGGATCCATTTGCAACTATACCCGTTGGACAGCTGGTGGTTTTGAAGATAGCTTGAAAGGAGTCAGAGACAGAAAGTGACCAGCGTCCACTCTGAGCGCTAAACACGAAACACTGCCGCCGAGGGATGCGATGAACCGAAAGGTGTTTAGCGCTGCATTGAAACTTTGCCTACGGATGATATCAGACCAGCCTCGCTTAGACTCACAGCAAATGAGATAGCGCACGCTCTTCGATGGTTGATTCAACCCGTTAGTCCCGAGGAGGGACAAACAGCCCAGAGCAATCTTGTTGATCACCTTTCACCACAACATGTATTATTGATGGAGTACGAGATGACTGTTGCTGAAGCGCTCTATGCACGATGAGTTCGAGATCTCAACACAGCCCTCTGTGATAACAAAGCGGCATAAGAGGATATCAAACATGGAAAATGCTCTATGCAGTGACTTTCTCACTGTATTAGTACGACGCTCTAACCAACTCCCTTACCCGACCCAATCACGATTGTTGAAAGGAGTTTCTCATCATGCCCTATATCACGTACATTCTACCACGCCTCGATCGATCTTCAATACTTAGAGCCCCAGGGAGAGTTTGTGATCCAGAAAAGGCTTGCAGCTAGGACTTTAGCTGCCTGAATTCATGTAACAAGGGCTGGCTTACGAGGAGAGAAAGGATACTTGACCATTGCCGCCCAGTCGGTCTGACGGCCGTAATTGCCATGGTAGGCATTGAAAATCTCAATATCATATCCCTTAATAAAGTTCCGAGACTGACAATTAGCTAACGGAAACACTAGCTGTAAAAGCGCAAGACTGCAGACTCGTTCTACCTAGGTTTTCTAGGGCTCTGTGAAGAGTATAGAGTATAGAGTATGTGAGGTGGAAACTGACGTTGGGAGAAGGACATAGCTGGGTGCTTTTTGATTATGCTGGCGCACTGGTACTGCGATATGTTATTGCGTATGTATCAAGGTAGCTCTAATTAACTGCAAATACTTGAGCCAATTGGTTCGTGCTGAAAGTGAAGTGTGGTTATTCCATCAGGTATCATACTCCCAAGTTCAAAGTGGTCTTTTAGAGAATTTACTTCACTAAACAAGACGCATCGCCAATATCACCACCCGATCTCTAAAGTAAAGGACTTCATACATTACAGCTTTTGCTATTCGGGGTCGGTTTATCCGGTTCGCCACCTGACTTGGTGGCTCTGGTTGATTGGTTCTTGGCAGAGAGTCTTACATGTGAAAGGTGTATTCTCTCTATCCTTCAACCTTACCGAATCTTACATCATCATGGTGGACGAAACACTTGCGTTGGTGCAGGCTTCTTTGACGATACTCAACTCTAATTGCCCCCCCTATCTTCTCGGCATTCCTCCCAGGAGATATTGGTTTTTGTTGCGGAACTTGATAGCAAAACCTTCGAATAACGCTTGGATAAGATGCGCCACTATGAGTATTTGCCGCTGGAAGACGAAGCGTCTATTCGTCTTATGACTATCTTCCCTGGACAGTTCTATGATCCTTTTAGAGCTGAAATTAGGCATGAACTGCTTATCCCGCCCGGTGAGATCGGGCACACGCGTTTGTCGGCGAAGGAAGTAAGTCAGACACTGCCTCCCGACTGGGAAGTGCATGAGACCTTAGAAGGCCGTCTATTATTTCGGAACAGAGACACAGGACGGACCTCATGGACACATCCAAACCCGGATGTGGACTCTACTCTTTATGACCCGTCGCTTGATGACTCAACGGACACACCAGTGCCTGTTTACGAGGCTCTGTCGTATGCGTGGGGGTCTCCTGAGAAGGGTGAGATGATCGAAATCGAGGTTTCTATGATTATGGACGAGAACATGTCCCGCAATATCTCCGCTTGTCGACATCTGCCTATTACACGAAACCTGGCAATTGCGCTGCGGCATGTTCGTCTCCGTGACCGGCCACGAACTTTGTGGATAGATGCCATCTGCATCGACCAAAGCAACATCCAAGAGCGAAGTGCCCAGGTACAACGCATGGGCGAAATCTTCTCATCGGCTCGGGACGTCGTGGCATGGTTGGGACCGAGCTTTACGAGCAGTCGTCTTGCATTAAACACTCTGAGAAGAATTGGAGAGCAGCTGGAACTTTCGAACACTACATTCCACAACTTTCCTGCACCTCACTGGTTTGGTCATGATGGGCAGGTTGCACTAGCACAACTTCCATCGATGGACGAACTCGATGCGATCGCCCAATTATGCAAGGTTCCGTACATGTCGAGACTTTGGGTCGTACAAGAGCTGGTGTTGGCGAGTGCGAAGTCAGTCGTGAAGTGCGGTGACGATGAATTACCGTGGCCCTTGTTCCGACGCGCGATGCTACGCTTTTCTTCGTGGGTCGATTCTATACCAGTCCAAGCATATCAAGCCTTATCTCCCGTAATAGCCATTTGTTTAACCCAGTCAGCCCTTTCATTGCCCACCTTACTATATAACCACCATGGTCGGGGATGTGCGGATGCCAGGGACAAGGTGTATGCGTGTATGAACCTGTTGGATCCGGCTTTGAGACAGCACATAGTGGCGGACTATTCGAAATCTGTCCTAGACGTGTTTAAAGAAGTATTCCTGGAGTTTCTGGGGCGAGAAGAACGACTTGAACAGCTGCCATATGCCGGAATTTGTACCCTTCCAGCGTCGGATTGGCCAACCTGGCTTCCGGACTGGTCGGAACGTGTGTCTATCCTTTTGTATCACGTTGATCAAGCCAGCAGCATTTCCGCGGCAGGAGCAAACTACATCGCTCCGAACAAGCTCCAGGTTAATGGCCTTTCGTCTTCACATATATCTATTGGGGGTAAGATTCTGGGCACTGATGGTTTTTTGGGCGTTGTGAAATTCTTAGAAGACTTGGGGCTTGAGGATTTGCAAACGTCAGCGTATCCCAATGGCGAGACGCGATTGGATGCTTATATCCAAACCATTCTCGAAGGCCATCTTGATGAGAGAGCTCCTGGAATTGGCTTTCCTTCGCTGTCTGAATTACGGGGCATCTTAACGAAACTAACAGATTACCATGGGAATGTTGATCGGTCGATACAGGTGGCCGATCGCTACAGGAGAGGCACGGCTTCTGTCAGCGAGATGTTCACAACGTCTAACGGCTACGTCGGCAGAACGACATCACAAATACAGCCAGGTAAATTGGCTACCCTTTGAGACGTTGGCAAGCTCTACAAGTTGCATCTAACGTGTTGTTTCTGTCGCAGGAGATGATGTTTTCATTATTCTCGGCTGTAACAGTCCGATGATACTCAGGCCGACTTCCGACGGCGAATATACAGTTGTCGGAAGTTGTTATCTACACGGGGCTATGGAAGGCGAGGCTCTCCTGGGTACGCTCCCGATTCCATGGAAAGTCAAGTTCCTTGATGATGAGAGGGGCTTTAATATACCGAAATTTTGTAACGGCGATTCTCATGAGATAAGGGAATATGACCCCCGGTTGGATAGTATTCCATTGCCGGCAGAATGGGAACCTATCGAATTCCAATGGACTCGGGCTGATCCCAACATCTGTAGCAAGTTTCGCAACAGAATTACAGGGGAAGTCATCAACTCAGATCCGAGACTCTTTCCTGAAGCGTTACTCGAACGTGGGATACCAGTGAAGAGGATCACACTTATATAGATGTTTTCGTCTGTTTTTCTCTCTTACAAACCTTCTGGGATCCGTTTATACTATGTTCATACTGTATTATTGGCTTGAGCTGCTTGGTACTAGAGGACGCTATTGGCAAGGCTGGTACCGGATTGATATACACGCGGCCAAGGGCTTTTGTTTAAGTATGCCCTCGTTGCTTAAGAAATAAAGGGAAAACGGCGTTGAATGTCGGGAACATCGCACTTTAGGGTAGGTGAAGATACGTGGAAGATTCGGGCAAGTCTACGTGAGCGGCCTGGTATGTTATGATGCGCGATAAACATGTCCGCGATATGTTTAAACAATACTACCCCAGCTGCAAGAAGAGGAACGTCTATGCATCATACATACTAGTTT